TTATCTGTTCCAGGATCCAATCCAGTATACCACACTACATTTAGACAAACTTTAAAAAAAAAAAAAACGCTTCAGCTAGAATTATAAGCTAATTAATTCTGCATGTGGTAATTTTATAATTACCAAAAGAGTTACTGAATATTGCTTTCCTTTTCTTGTTACTGAGTTCTGTAGTTGGGATATATGGATTCATAATGAGTAGCTACTGAAAGTCAAGAGATTCTTCCTAAATTTTACAGAAAATTATGTTGAGTTTCCATGAAGAGCAGGAAGTGTTGCCAGAAACGTTCCTTGCCAACTTCCCTTCTCTGATAAAGATGGATATTCACAAAAAAGTAACTGATCCAAGTGTAGCCAAAAGCATGATGGCTTGCCTCCTGTCTTCACTGAAGGCTAATGGTGAGTACATATTTGTAGAGTTGCTGGTATTTGGGTTATGTGGGGACAGGACTCTATTTTAGGATAAAAAGAAGTGAATTTACATTCCCTTCACCATTTATGGTTTTGCTTCTGAATTATTAGTGCTGCAAGAATTGGATGTGTATTAATCATTGAAAAATACTGCTCTTTTACACTATGAATGCTTATATTTGAGCCCCAATTAAATGAGAAGTGTACATTTATTTTGCTAGGAGACTTATAAATGATAGTTGAAAATTAAACGAACCTCGGGAAGACTTCGTTTAGGAATGCAGAGTTGCTGATGTTTTTTGAGTTTGTTACTTAAACCTTCAAAAATACTTTGCTGTACTTTAGTGGTATGAAAGCTTTTTCTGTAAAGGGCCAGATATTGAGTATTCTAGGCTTTAAAAAGGCAACATACAGTGTTTGGTTGCATGTTTTTTCTGTTTCGTTTTGCGGTACGCGGGCCTCTCGCTGTTGTGGCCTCTCCCGTTGCGGAGCACAGGCTCCGGACGCGCAGGCTCAGCGGCCATGGCTCACGGGCCCAGCCGCTCCACGGCATGTGGGATCTTCCCGGATCGGGGCACGAACCCGAGTCCCCTCCATCGGCAGGCAGACTCTCAACCACTGCGCCACCAGGGAAGCCCTGCATGTTCTTTTTAAACAACCTTTTAAAGCTGTAAAAAAAAACACAACTTTTTAGCCTTTGGCAATACAAAAATGGGCAGCTTGTTGAGCACTAATTAGAGGGTTCTTGATGTGTGAGGATGCACTTTTGTTGCATCTTTATATCATTTGATTCAGTGGTGTCCCCTTTGTGGGATAATTTAAACAGCTCTGTTCGATGAAAGTATAATTCTCAGTGTTGTGCTTGGAACTGAATCATGCAGGTGTATGAGGTATGTCTTTGACATATAAAACACATTCTGGTTGTATTGGCTTGCGACATAGGCTGGAATAGGCTCTGCCCTGTGGGTCCCTCAAAGATACTTTACATAAATATAACATTCAACAGAGGTATCCTTTGCCTTGAGGTTTCTTACAACCTCTTTGCCAAAAGATTTTCTTTCTGGGGAAGAGTGTTATTCACCATGCAAAAAAAAATTTTTTTTGAAGTATATTTGACAATTAAGAATTCTATATATTTAAGGTGTACAATTTGATGACTTGAAATACATTGTGAAACAATCACCATATTAAAGCTAGTTAACATATCCATCACCTTAAGGTAGTTATCACTGCAGTATTGATGAATATAAATATTGACTTTTGATATAAATTTTTAAAAGTGTATGAAATTTAGAGGCTGGTATAGATAAGCCAGTACTATGATCTTTTTGAAATATATTTGAGATTAATTACAATTCATATTCATAATTCTACAAATTAAGTGACATTTATATTTTGATTTTTTTTTTCCCCCCCTAGGCTCTCGAGGGGCTTTCTGTGAAGTGAGACCTGATGATAAAAGAATTTTGGAATTTTACAGCAAGCTAGGCTGTTTTGAAATTGCAAAAATGGAAGGATTTCCAAAGGATGTGGTTATACTTGGTCGGAGCCTGTGACGTTTGTTGGCACTATGAACTGTTGGGAAGTCTCTTCACTTCACCTGGTGGGTGGTGGTTGGGGTCTTCATACAGCTCAGCCTCTGGAGCGGCAACAGATCGGCTAATTCAGATTGGAAACAAAGAGGACTATGTAAAACTCACTCATCATGCTTAGAGACTACTCGCTGGTTGGAAAAAGATAGTATTGCTGTAAATCCTGTATGAAAGAGATGTGGGCCTCCTTATTGGGTCTTGTGTTAGGTGCTGAGACCTCTTACGCGGGCTTACAGGGAGGGGGTCTTCAATAAATGTAGTCAGCACTGTTTTCTGCATCCAGTGTGGTTGCATTTCTTACCTAAGAGTAATCAAAATCATTTGTCATCCTCCTTGGCTTATTAAATGAAATGTACCTCATTCTTTGGGCACATGGCAAAGATGAGAAAGATTTGGTTTCAGTGGCTTCAGGGTGGAGAGTCCAAGTGGGATGGTTATGGCATAGTTTAAGCTGAATAAATAATTTCAATTTGGGCGGTTTTTCTGCTTTTTGTAAAGCCTTGGCCAGTTGTCTCTTGTGACCATTATTGATTCAGGCATATTGTGCTTTGTAGGGACAAATGTGCAGTTTGTGGCAAAAGCCTAAAAGTGACAAACTTGTAAATTATTTTGTATATAAACTAAACAAGCTGTAACCTATCCTTTGTGTTTACTGTTTTTGTAATTTTCCTTTTGAAAATGAAAGGGTGTGATTCAAGATGGCACTTTGAATATGTAAATCAGTGGAAAGTGTATTTTCTTTACTTTTGTCTTTGTTTTTTTAGAAGTTTTATTATTTTCGAAGTGCCTCCCACCTAGGGCTAGGCCATGACCACTTTGGGTACCAGAGTCTAACTTCATAGGACTCAGTCTGTTGCAAAGTGCAGTCACTTCTGGAAATTAACCTCAATTCAGGTCAGCATGTGAAATGTTGGTTTTGACTTCTGGCAAGTAGGGTTCAGGGACTGATTGATCCCATTTGCGCACAGGTCAGTTGTCCTTTAATTTCAAGACCTGTTACTACTGGTTTTATTAAATCAGAGTCTTTATTTCTTGCATGTTTGTATCAGATTTAAAAGAATGAGCACACTTTAACCAATGACTTACAGTTACCCTTTTCTCTTTAACCACAGGTTCTGAAAGCTTTCAAGTATTTTAATTTAGATTTGGTGTGTTTAAGGGTTCTGAGCATGAGGCTAGCAGGTAGTCTCTGCAGGATTCATTTTTTTAATCATGGCTGGCTGGCTTCATAGATTGTTAACAGTATTTTGTTATCTTGCTTCCCTGCAGTTTTGTATCAGCAGTTTAACTTTGAGCTGAGAGCAGGGAGGGTCAAGGAGAAGGAAATTTAAAACATATTTTCTTTCATAGATTTCCATCAGTGTGGGCTTTGAAAAGAGAGTCTTTTAAAGCATTGTACCTAGTGACTTTCAACCAAAGCCTGTGAGTGTGAATGGGTGAGATGAACGAAGGAGGCCTCTTCACATTCAGGGTTAGAAACCTGCAATTGATAGCAGGATATGTAAGGTATGTTGGACGACAGGAACCAAGTTTGCGTTTTCAAGGGCTGAGATGAAGGGAAGATCGCTACAAGATACTGTTTAAAACGGCTTAATGTCATTTGGTTTTTAAGTACGTTTTGTACACTAGCGGACAGTTCTAGCATCTTATCTGGAGGATTCATTCCATGGTCGTCATCCTGTGGAATCAGGATTTTTAGCAAGTTTGCTGCAGCTTTATCTTGGCTTTTAATAAGTTTGGCTGGTGTTTTGGTCACAGAGCTAACTATGAAACATGTCCACGCCGCTAGGATTGTTCAGTGCTATGCTATCTATCGTCTGTTGTTAAGACTATTTATTACGGTTGGGTGGTATTCCGTTGTTTAGATCACAGCTCAGTTCCTGTAGAAAACGAACTGTAAAACCATCTGAAGACCATACAAGAGGCAAAATAAAACTTGAAGTGAATGTGTGTGGTCGTGTACTGTGTAAACCTCCTTCCTGTTTCTGCCTCTTACCTTTTCTCCTGCCCTTGCATTCCTGAGCAAGTGTTCCTCCTTTCCACAGCTGTTCCAAATTAGGGACTGGATCTTAAAGGCAGTTCTCTCCCACTTCCATCTCCACTAAAAGATTGCCTTCCATATTTTCCTCAAGGCAAAACAAAAGTAGACTAGCTTTGGCTAAGCCACCCTCTTGCCACAATTATTACCTGGGGGTAAATTAGGGCAGCTAGTTTGAGTGAGTTCCTGCCACCTAATAGAATAAGGAACACAGTTGCCTGATAATTTGGTCAGAAGGTGAAAGTTGGGGGGCGTAGCCCAAATTATGAGGCGGGAGTCTAAGACAGAAAGATGTTCCTGAACTAGCCAGCCTCTGTCAGGATAAGCAATTAGTCCCACGCTTGAGCTAACGTCCTGTGCTAGCAAGCACCAGCATCCAGCCAGCATCTGAAGTTCAGTGAAGATAGGCCACCATCTGGATAGTGAGCTGAAGGGTTGTTAGAGCAGGGAGTACATCCAGGAGAGGATGGAGTGGTTGGGATACAAAGTACCCGGAGCTGAAAGTCTTCCTTCAGGCTCCTCGGTTCCCTTGAAGGGGAGGCAAATCTGAGCGTATTCGCTTTTATAGGAAAAACGCTGCACTGTATCTCGCCTTTGCTGGGGGAATTGGAAAGGTTTCCATTCTCAGATACTTTAACGAAAGCTTACCCTGGATTGGGAGAGGGGACACTGGACAGAGTGCGGAACTAGAGAAAATGGAGGCAGGAATCGCCCTCAGAAAGTCTTGAAGTGAGCAAGGACGTTAACATTAGTCCCAAGTTGATGCTTCTGTGATGTTACTTGCTCTCTTTGCGGTCTCACAGACGCAACAGGTCTGAGACTCCTGAACGAGACTGGGCTGATGGAGCCCCGGACCGGGGGCGCCTCGCGAGCGTCTCCTTTAATAGGCGGGGCCGGAACCCCCGCGAGTCCCCGGCTTTGTACGTGTCGGGGGCGGAGCCGCAGACGGCCCTTGCAGCATGGCCGCTGGCGCTGCCGCCGCTTTGGCCTTTCTGAGTCAGGAGAGCCGAGCCCGGGCCGGGGGGGTCGGCGGTCTGCGAGTCCCTGCCCCGGTCACTATGGACAGTTTTTTCTTCGGTATTGAGGAAAGGAGGAGCTGAGGGTGGTGCGGGGGCAGAGGCAGGGCTGAGGAACAGGAAGGCAGATGGGTGCAGAACGTGGGTGGGGGCGGAGGGGGCCTCGCACGCGGCAGTTGGAGCGGAAGGGGGTAGCCAGGCCCCTGCCCTAGTCGTGCTGGGCGGGGTCCGGGCCGAGCGCTCCAGGTTTTCCTGAGGAGCGGGCGTGTGAATGGCCGGTCAGTCCATGGCTGCACGTGAACGGGATTCGGAGAAACGCCCCCGCACACTCACCCTGTTCTCTCTTCCAGGCTGTGAGCTCTCAGGCCATACCCGCTCTTTCACCTTCAAGGTAGAGGAAGAGGATGATGCGGAGCACGTACTGGCTTTGACCATGGTAAGGGGCGGGTGGCGGGGAATAGGTTGACCTGAGCGGGCCTCTACCCGCGTGTCTCTTCCCCTCCCCCGCTTTACTGGGAGTCACCTCCTCTGCTTAACCCCCACATGGGGGTCCCCTGGCCAGGTGATCCAGGGACCCCTGAGGCTGGGCAAGTCGTAGGGTAGATGCCTCTGTTTGTGGTCTCCACCCTCACTGGGGAGACTCGGAGGCCCTGTGTACCCTTCCCAGCTCTGCCTCACCGAGGGGGCCAAAGATGAGTGTAATGTGGTAGAAGTCGTGGCCCGGAATCATGACCACCAGGAGATCGCAGTCCCTGTGGCCAACCTCAAGTTGTCCTGCCAACCCATGGTGAGTTCCCTTGGGGGACTGGGAGATAGGAATTGAGGACTTAAGGATTTCTCACAAGATGGGGTGGGCCAGGCCTTCATCCTTGTCTTCTTCCCAGCTCAGTTTGGATGACTTCCAGCTCCAACCACCTGTAACCTTCCGCCTGAAGTCAGGCTCTGGCCCTGTGCGGATCACTGGGCGGCACCAGATTGGTGAGAGTCTTCTCCTTTGCCTCCAGTAGACTCTCCATCAGGACTCCTACCCCACCCCAGCCTTATCTCCCAGTGCGGTTCCCATACAGACTCTGTATGCTGTGCCCTCCACTTACTGTCCTACTCAAGCCGTTCTTCATGGAACCTGTCTTGGCTTCTTTAGCTCCAGTGATGTGGACTCCTTTGGCTCTTTGTTATCTAGTTTAGTATCTGAGGTTTTTCCCACCTAGACCATAAGTTCTGGGAGGTCAGGGTCCCTACAAGCCTAGAGCCACAGGGCATGAATAAATGACCTGTAGTATGAAGGGGGTGTGGCTTTAACTTCTCTTCCTCCCTTTACTGCTTGTGTGTCTACCAGTTACTATAAGCAATGATGTTTCTGAGGAAGAGAACGAAGAAGAGGGCAGTGAGGAGGAGGAAGCTGAGTTGTGCCCCATCCTGCCTGCCAAGAAGCAGGGGGGCAGGTTCTAACCCTCCCTGGTGAGTTGGGTGGGAGGCATGCCCAGCAGGGCCTGGGAGGGGATAGGAGGAGCAGATTTGGACCTAGATGCTGACCCCTTGTTTGCTCTCCTCAGGTCAGCTAGCTGCCTGCCACATGCACCATGCACCAGGTTCCTGTACAAGTTTCAAGAATTTTGTGTCTTTTCCATTGAAGAGGATGGGTAGTGGTGGGGTGGGTGGGTGGGGTTTGGTCTGGTGCTAGGAGAGAGGGGGTCCCATTCTCCATAGTGCCCTGGTGTTCTAATCCTGTACCGCATCCAGAGCTTCCCTTTTCTTCAGGAGTGGGAGGAACTCTGAACTTCCATCCTGACCCTCTCTCCCCACTTGCCTATGAGGTTGTAGTTCAGCATCTGAAGCTCAGGACTACACATTTTAAACATTTTTTACATTTTTGGATAAAGGTTGAAA